GAGCTGCTGAGGACGCATAGGGAAGCACGAAGAAAAAAGTAAGTACATGGCGCAAACGAGATCAGACGCGATGTACCACAGGTTGGGTCTCGCAATACATGCAGTGGTATATCTAGCGAGTATATTTAGGTAGAGCTTGGGGCTGCTTTGGCAGTTAGAGGCCGCACCGCGCAGTTCCAGATATGTAAGACGCTCAAATGGACTAAATATGTAATGATTTGCACCCGAAACATGGGTCTAGGTGAGCTAGTCATGAATCAAATGACTGAATCGCTTGCACTATGTGCGTCGGATGATTGAGCATCAACGAGCGAGCCATTAGTTGCACGCGTTGGAGCTGTTACCCCATGCTCAATCGCTCGACGTGACTTCCAGCTCCTTAAGCTCAGTCGTCCTCTCTCGATGCAACTTTGTTCTCTTGATACCGAACGAGATCAAAAGTCCAATGGCACCCACAATCGTCATGAGAATCCAGGTCCCTCTCAGCGCGCTCATGAAGCTATGGCGGACTACACTCTTCTGGAACTCGGTGAGGTTAGTGATGGCGGCGCTTTGAGATATCGCTTCACCCCCAGTGAGATTAAGAGCAACATCGTCCGCGATGCCACTGTCGATAATCTTCCCGTAGTGTGGCGCCATGAGGAGTTGGAATACCACTTGGCTGATGACTAGACCGATGGCACCAAATATTGCACGTACAAATCCAAAAGCCGCAGTACCGGCCGCGATATCCGCCTCTTGTATGCGCGTTTGTAGAGCAATGAGCGGCGCGCCAAAGTTGGGCCCGAAACCCAGGCCAATAACGACCATGAATGCGATGATAGTTTCAAGGCTTGGCGTGGTGCCGAGCGAGATGAGAAGGCCGACACCGAGCGTCATAACGAAAAGACCTGCTTGCAGTACTTCGAGAAAACGCCCAGTCTTCTCTATGACACGACCAGAAGCGAATGAAACAAGTGCCAAAGGTATCGCGACAGCGAGCATGCATACGCCTGTGATCTCTGGTTGGAGTCCGAGCACGATCTGGAAGTACAAGGGTAGGAAGTAAGCCACCGAGGTGAAGACCAGAGTGTCGCATGCGCATACGGCCAGCGCGCTGAGGTTGCTGATGTCTTTGAAGATGCGCAGCGGCATGATGGGACTGCCGCCATGTTGCGCCACCCAGTGTTGCGAGAAAGGGAAGGCGACGTAAGCGAGTGATCCGAACAGCAAGCACGTGATGACTCCTGTGTTCGAGTAGGAGCTAATTCCACCTACTTGGAGGCCCACTAGCAGGAGTATAGTGGCCGTAATTATCGTGACCGTCCCCAGCCAGTCCATAGCCGCGAGTCCTGTCGCAAGAGGCGTTCGTGGATTGTATAGGTGAAGCGTAAGATACAACACTAAAATCGCTAGTGAGACGATGGGTATGTTGATGTAAAAGCACCACGTCCAATGGAGACGTTGTGCGAAGACGCCGCCGAGGACCGGGCCCAAAGCAGATGCGACGGCCCATACAGCACCAACAGTGCCCATGTAGAAGGACCGATCCCGGATGGTGAAGAGGTCGCTGACGCATACGTGAACCAGTACCACCACTCCACCGCCGCCGAGACCCTGAACGACACGGCCAAAGATGAGCATAACGGCATTCACACTGACGGCGCACAAGATGCTGCCGCCAAGGAAGATGGCGTTGGCCGTCAAAATGACAGGTTTTCTTCCGAATATGTCCGACAGCTTACCCCAGAACGGGACTGATGAAGCGTTGGCGAGAAGGTATGATGACCCTATCCAGGCGTAAAGGGAATCTGGAATGCGGAAGGATTGGGAGATCGTGGGCAAAGCGGTTGGGATGAGCACAGTGTCGAGTGCTACTAGAAAGATCGATAGACTGAGGGCGATGAAAGCCGCCAGTACGTGGGTCGGAGCACTGGTCTTTCCATTCGAGGCCATCTTAGCTCCTGTGAAGGACTTGAATAGTCAATTTGAAAGGTTTTTTGTCGCGGTGGTAGTTGCTCACCTTAATCGATTCTGATGACGCGGTGATGTCAGTGCCAGCCGACATGTTTGGCAAGCACTCCTCGTTGACGGTCGTCATCCTGCCAGATTCGCCGGACCCCACCGTCATAAAGATATGTGCAGGCAAGAACTATGAAGAGTCTATGACGACAGACGATAGAAAGCTGCAATCGCACACTTGTCGAATGGAAATAATGCCGAGGTGATATGTGAACTTTGGTGTGGCTTTTGACCCTTTATACCGCGACGCTGACACAACAATAAAGAAGTCATATTCGACAAGTCTACCGTCACTCTCTAGGGCCCTCTTAGCCGATGGGTATACGGGTTACATCCATGCGTTTGCATGCGTCGGGGGCATTAGCCCGTAGTGTATACTTTTGTAGTACATGCAGGCTGCGATTGGAGATCCCTAGCTGAGCTGGATCTTAGTAGAAGAGGTGGCTTGCTGTCGGTATACTTGTCCAGCACCTAACAAAGATCCCGGAACACCGGCTAGTGAACAGCATCGCCACTGGTCCATGCGGAACGCGTAGTATTAAGTCTGCACGGTCCTGGTTGGGCCACATCTGCGACTACATGTGGGGACCCCGCGTATTATTTCAGGGAAGTAGCTATACATACGCGAGAGCTTATCGGGCTGAGGCAATTGGAGGCAGCGGCGAGCAGCCGATCCTGCATGCTACTGATGCTGTACTTATCAGCAGCATTCACGTGGTGGCGTTTACACATCTAGAAGCCGAACTACCATCGTGGAAATTGAGTATCGTCCTGCTGGTACCCTTGATACCATTCTCATCAAATTCAGAAGTGCTGATATGCCGAGACTGGTAACGCACTCTCTTGTAGGACAGCTGCCACTCTGAAGACCGCCTGAGTGGATAGTGGAGACCAGTCGAATAAGACGAGCGTAACGTGAGCCTTTGCGCTTTGGGCTGAATCTTGGCAAATGATCTGTCGACAACAAGTCGAACGGTTTGGGCTGCACTGAGTTGACAATTGCACCAGTTTGCCAATGCTTGTGTTCCTCGGATATGCCGTGTAAATCAGTCCTTTCCGCATGAAGATGGCGTCGACGCCGCCGTGTCAATCGGGACTCACGGGCTGCACTTCTCCCGGCATCTGGCAATAGTCTTAGTGCGGAATCCACCGGCTCACGTATAATACGTGACACGTATGTCTTCATGTTCACGTGTTTGTGTGTCCTGAACGAACCCTACGCGCGAAGACTGCTGTAGAACGTGTTGCAAATTAAGCATATAAACTTGACCCTCTGTTGTGCTTGACGTTGAAACAACGGGACGACACCCTCCGGGAACGATGGTGCAGGTGCATTGATGCTCAAACTGAGCAGGTTCGATAGATCGTCAACGTCGACTTCTGATGCTCTCGTCTACAGTAGATCAGTATCGATTGGGCGAATGGACACCACCAACCGTAGTCTCGGTGGCCAGCTGTAACCGGGGTCACGCTAGTGAAGATACAGTGCCATGCTAGCAGGCCAACAGCATGATCCGTTTTTGACTACCCGCATCGTGGCTGTGAGAGATTGTTGGTGTGAAAGACCGGGGTAGGCGTGGACGGGGCAGAGACGTATTCTAGCGTCGTTTGGAGTCGGTCTGTCGCGCAAGAGACAGTAGCTGCCGATCTGCAGAAGATCAAATTCCGAGACATATGATTTGTTCGTCTTCTGGCTGCTTCGTTTGCGAGTATGATAACAGTGTCGACGCGCTTCGGCGATGGATGTCGTGCAGGGTGGGCACCGTTCGGAATTGGACACGGGGTTTAGCCGCTCGTGCAGCGTGGCGGAGACCAAGGATATGGTACTGGTAACACAAAGAACCTCTGAAGGTGCTTTGGACGACAATCCTTCGAGAGTCAGCACAAGCACACCCTGACTGTGCGCTCCCATGTGAGCGTCGCCTATTCCGTCCGTTTTGGGCTCTTCCGGAATTCTGCATCGGCAAGGAAAACATTCACTTACGTCAGCCCTCAAATCTACTCAAGAAAAGACAGATGCATTCCGGTACATATAGCGACGCGCTCTCTTCGCACGCGGAATGGCGTTCATCAACCTTGGAAGCGTAGCGAGCTGGTAGAAATGTGATCGCGCTGGAGGGCGCCTGCCGTAGGCAAGCGTTGGGCAGACTCGCGCGCGTCTACCTGAGATATTCCTGGGAGAGGATTGGATAGAGAAGTAGCCCAATCCTCCGTACAGCTATAGGACCGCCATGAACGATGTGAGGGGGTGAAGCCATTCGATCTTTCGTATATAAGGGGTGAGAACGCGTCGGATGATGGCCCAGGGCGCAAATCGATCGAAAGCGAGTACCCGAATGGTTGTCAGCGATGATGACGCGCTTGTCTCGCGTTACTTTGTCGGAGTCATCACGATGTCGCGTTGCGATGTCGGTTCTGGAGGTTGCAACATGTGGGGCAGCTCCCTCGGCTTCGAAGCCCGCCAAGCCCCAAAGGGCGGAAGTGCAGGTGCGGCGAGGAAAAAAATTGTTTATCATGCTGCCCCTTCCCCACTAGAGCGCTCTTACTTTCCAATAACCATGAGCCCAAACGCCATCACCAGCTGGGACAACAATCCCGCCACGCCGCTACGAAGACGCCGCCGCCGCCCACACTGAGGACTCGAGTTGAGAGTAGATGGACTGTTGCTGCATCTAGCGCCCAACGGCCATAACATTATTCTTCCACCAGGATACCCCATTTTTGGAGAGACCTGCCGAAATCTTCAGGAGCACCACCAGGCTACGTATGTCGTCATTTGTTCTCTTACCTGCCGCCTATTCAATGTCCCGATGATGATTTTGTCATATTATAAAGATGTTAGACTTGCGATACCCCTTGAGCGCACAACGACTTCCTGAGAGACTACCCCACTTACATATCCCGCGTCTTCCGAACTGTTACCGCAACTGACGCGTCTTAGTAGCATATAAACCCGAGTTTTTACTCCAAGCCTCCCCACACCCCGCCATCACGTCAAAATGTGCGGTATCATTGCTGTGATCCACGGCGATCCCAAGTCGCAATCGGCTTCGGTCGAGGTGCACGATGCTCTCTACCTCCTCCAACATCGCGGCCAAGATGCTGCCGGAATAGTCAGTTGCAGTGCCGGTGGTCGCTTCCACCAGTGCAAGGGCAACGGTATGGCGTCGCGCGTCTTCCAGGATGGCGCCCGCGTGTCCGACCTCCCCGGCTTCATGGGCCTCGGCCACCTGCGATACCCTACCGCCGGCAGCAGCGCGAACGCGGAGGCTCAGCCCTTCTACGTCAACAGCCCCTACGGTATCTGCATGACCCACAATGGCAACCTCATCAACGCGCCGGCACTGCGCCAGCGACTCGATCACGAGGCCCACAGGCACATCAACACCGAGAGCGATAGTGAGCTCATGCTCAACATCTTCGCCGACGAGCTCAACGAGACGGGCAAGGCGCGTATCAACGCCGACGACTGCTTTGCGGCGCTGGAGAGGATGTACAAGCTCTGCACTGGCGGATGGGCCTGCACGGCCATGCTTGCGGGTATGTCAATTGCCAATGGTATCTGCTGTGCTGTCATCGTGTGGATACTAACATTGTCTCAGGATTCGGCCTCATCGGTTTCCGCGACCCGTACGGTATTCGACCCATGGTGCTCGGCTCTCGCAAGTCGCAGGACGGCAAGAGCATGGACTATATGATGGCCTCGGAGAGCGTTGCGCTGGTCCAGTGCGGCTACAAGGACTTCTTCGATATCCTCCCCGGCCAAGCTGTCATCATCGAGAAGGGCAAGGAACCCGTCTTCAGGCAAGTCGCCAAGCAAGAAGCGTATACCCCGGATATCTTCGAATACGTCTACTTCGCGCGACCTGACTCTGTCATTGACGGCATCGACGTAGATGAGAGCCGACGCAACATGGGCTTCACTCTCGCCGAGACCATCAAGAAGCAGCTTGGTCCCAAGACCATGGCTGAGATCGACGTGGTTATGCCGATTCCTGAGACTTCGATTACTTCTGCGTTGTGCGTTGCTGAGGCTCTCGAAAAGCCATACGTACAAGGTTTCGTCAAGAACCGCTACATCTTCCGCACATTCATCATGCCATCGCAACAACTACGACAGAAGGGCGTCCGGGCCAAGCTGAATCCTATGAAGAAGAAGTTCGAAGGCAAGAACGTGCTGCTGGTGGACGACTCCATCGTTCGCGGTACTACGTCGCGTGAGATTGTCCTGATGGCGCGAGAAGCGGGGGCCAAGAAGGTCTACTTTACCTCGTGTGCACCGCCAATCACCAATGCCCATATCTACGGTATCGATTTGGCCTCTTCCTCGGAACTGATTGCCCACCACCGCGACTCAGCAGCCATTGCTAAGCACATTGGCGCGGATGATGTCGTTTACCAGAACCTCGAGGATCTACAGAGCGCTTGCGCACGCCTCTCTCCTCGTGATCCTGCGACGCAAAAGTTCGAGGTTGGTGTCTTCTGCGGAAAATATGTCACACCCGTCGATGCTGGCTATTTCGAGCACCTCGAGAGAATACGCGGAGAGAGCCGCAAACAAAAGGTCATGGAGAAGGCACGAGAGGCTGTCGTACATGGTACGGCCAATCCTCAACAGGTGCGCATGGCTGCCAAAGGCGTTGTGAGTTGAGAATTGAAAACATTGTTTGGCAAGACTCCCTGTGACTAATGCGTATTGCAACAGGAGGTCGACCAACACGGCAACGTCATCCCATCGGATGGCAATGGGCAACCCGATTGGCACCCAGCCAACGGTGTCAGCCAGACATCCACGAGTGATGCCCTCGCTAACGGTAACGGGGAAGAGCGACGCGTTACCAGCAGCCAGGACATCAGCTTACACAACATGCACGATTACAACTGAGCAGCTACTCAATAGTTGTAAATCGTCGTTTTGGTACTGCAGCAAGGATGACATTTTTTATTTAGACGATGATGATACACACGTACCAGGAAAAGTTACGAAAGAGATGATTGGGATACAGCGCGGGACTGCCAAGGCGTAGGAGGAGATTTGTGCTCTTCAGAGACTTTCCGAATGTAGATCTTAGTTCTTGGAGGCCTCAAGACTAGGGTCACGCTGAGATCGAGCACGCACCTCTGCTTATGCTCTCTCGCTTCAGGATACGAATCCAACAGTCGTTTGCACAAGCCTTTTGGCCAGGCCTGTCAGCCGGGTCCTTCCGTCCCATTGGTGTACATTTGGTGGCCTCTCTGCACCAACACATGATATCCGTGCACCTTTTCTCACCGGCTGCATTGCATCGATTCACACACGCGCTCAACATTTCCAAAGACATCACACATCACGTGGTTGACTACACACCTTGAGAGTTCTCGCCACGTGCAGAAGCTATTGTAGGCTGTACACGACGCCGCCATCTCACAGTTCTTCCAGAGAAGGGAGAAGATGACGAACAAATTTCGCGCGCACCTGTTCGCTCGATACCGAGATGAGGTATGTAGGGAGTTCACTCAATGCTGAGCTCATGTCTCACACATGGCGCCGCTCAGCCACCTACAACTGACGCATCCTCTCAAGAGAAAGATTGCCCCGCGGACCGACCTCTTGCAGCAGCGGCCCGCAAGCCACTGAGCATCAATCACATCGACACGAATGGCTCCCATTCACTTATGTCCCAGGAAAGTTCTCGGCTAGCAGACTCCACATCGCCATACTCAGCGATCGCACTGGTCAGCGTTGTGCTTACAAAACTGAAGCCACAGCGTCAGGTGTACGAGCAAACTTCCTCATACTGCCAACAATGTCCGCTCTTTCGCACGCTGTCCAGCGATGCGGCATATGTCTGCCTGTGTCCGGTCACTTGCATGGCAAGCCCATCAGACATGATGATGAATCACATTCGTATTCTGTTCACCGCAACAAGCCACGATGAGCTCCAACAAACGCCTCGAGCGAGAGGAGATGACAGAGGAAATCAAGAGCACTGGAGAATTGAGGTATAAAACCCCCAAGGAAGGATGTGTTTGGAAGGACAACCACGACAGCATCTTCTACAGTATCACTACATTCAATATCTTTTAGCTCCACCAAAAACCCAAATCTTCAAGATGCAGTTCACCTCCACCATCGTCGCCGCCATCATGGCCTCAGTTGCCGTTGCTCAGATCTCGCTTGAGAACGTTGCCTCTTGTAAGTCCCTTCCCCATCTACGCAGACTACCGTTCCCACTGACGTTCACCCCTCAGTCGAGGCCTACGCCAACGCCGACTGCGCGCCCCAAGCTCTGCAGCAGCAGAACATCCACAGCAACGAATGTGTATTCCTGCCCTTGCAGAGTGCCCGCGTCTTCTTCTTGGAGAAGACTCGTGCCAACTGCCGCCGTGAGTCGCGACAACGTTTATTGTGAATGATCGGGATCTAATGGGAATAGTCGAGTTCTACACCTCCAACGATTGCTCTGGTACGCCAACCGACACCTTCACCACTGCTCCCAGCGACTGCATCAATGTATCGCAGAAGTTTTCTTACCAGGCTATTTGCTCTTAAGCTGGTCATCCCGTTTACGCTTATGATGGAGACCGAGTGACGACTTGGTGATTAGAGGGAGAGGAGCTGGCAACAGCGTGCATAACTGAGAGGGCGTGTTCAGAACACAGTCATTACAATATCTTTTCGATCCGACTTATTAGATCTAGTCTAGCTCGTTTGCCGTGTTCAACACACGGTGCGAACTAAGCTATATTGAAATATATTGGGTCGCTACTATCGCCATCTTCGAGTGAAACGTGACCTTCGCTAAGGCGTTATGTGATGTGAGCAGGCAGAAAAAACGATCGGAGAATTCCAGTTGTATGATGTGCTACTTCCATATAAAGCAAGTGCTTACTGTAAGGAGATTTGACCGAGCAATATATGAAGAGAATGTCTCTGCCAAGTTCCTTCTACTACAACCCAAGGATTAGGTGAGAGGAAGTCGTCTGGGAGTATAGAGAAGACATTGGTCGTATACTCAAGTCACATGGATTTGACCTGGAGATACCAAGACGTCGATGGTCGAAGCTGGTTGTCTGTTGTCTCGCTGTTCCCATAATTATTGCGAGAAAGCACATATAAAGCCACTCCAAATAACACCTCTACAGTTCATCACTCTCAACACAATCATCGCGATCATCCTGAACTCATCCGCATCTTCAATCATGCATTTCCTCACCATCATCTTCGCACTCGCAGCAACAACCCTCGCCTCTCCCCTCACGCCCACCCGCCGCAGTCCCGTCCCCAACCCCATCCCCAACGCCGGCTCTTTCACATCATGGTCGTGCGTTGACTGCGCTGCCAACAATCCCTGTCTCTCCTTTCCACACGACAACATTGTGTCTGATGAGTGTTATCCGCTCGAGCCAAATCAGGCAAGTCTGCAATTACTACGCATCGCTCTTCGGGGCTGCGAGTGTAAGTAAATTTTGTCCTAGCATGATGACTGCGGTGGCTGATGAGGTGTGTAGTGCAACTCTTTGACTCGGTGGATTGTTCGGAAGAGGCCGGTGCGCCGTATGTGCTTAGTGAGCCGCCGACGTGTGATCCTGTGCCGGTGTTTAAGAGGGGGTATAAGATTGTTTGTTAGAGAGTCGGGGTATGGTTCTTGGGGGGAGTCGATAGGTTGGAAGGACGTTTTGAAGGCTTTTGGCGTTGTTGCTAGCTATTGTTTGTTGGTATGTTAGTCGGATAGAACGAGTCTGGGTTGTCATTAGTTCGACACGTAATGATACCAGACCCTTAGACTCCTAGGCTTTTCGTGGACGGTTTTCAAATCTTTCGGGTCTTGCGCGTGATAAAGGACTCACAGCGTGGTGATAACTTCGTTAATGGAATTATCAAGATCAAGGCAGTCTTGCAGATGCCCTGATAACGGAACGATCTCCGGTTCAGTAGGATGTTTGTTGGGCGACTACGTTGGTCCGTCTACCAAAGCATACTGATCTAAATTCAGTTACACGGCGTTCAAAGTTTGTCACAACACCAGACCTTGGGTTTCGGCGTTGCTGAAAGAGTTGCAAAGGTTTGCGTCTATGTCGGTGATGACGCACGGAACTACCTTCTCCCTTCGCATCCATCATGGTACTTTCTCGTATCTTTATTAAATTCCGACCGCTCACATAGCTTAAACCCTAACAGCAACTTGTTTGCTACCATTGAAGTGGCTCCGAGAACGTAAGCTAGTTCTGAATGACCGTAGGTGAGTATGCCAGAGATCGAGTATGATTTTGCAGCTGCGAGAGCTGACGCTTTCCACACCCTCTTATTCGAGTCTGCAGCTGGAGATTTGCCGCGAGATAACTTCTTACGCTTAGACTGCATGAAACGCATCACCCATGCCAAGAATCCGTATCGCAGTTCATCTCTTATCACCACTCCGACTTGCGATCCGAAAGTTTCGGGGTTGGGTAAGCATCTCGTGGCATTGTTGCCAAAGGCGTAACAGGCCGCTGCACCTGGGCCCCAACAAACGCCACACCTCCATCCCCATGGACTCGGCAACAAGTAGCCGCCAAACAAAAGATCAGTAATGCGCATTACGATCGGACAAGACTCGCGCCAGCCTCTGAGAATCGGGTCATTGAAAGGGCCGAACAGTTCGGTGATGTAGCGCAGTCATCGGACGGGCGCCCCGGTACCACCTACGTCATGGACTCCTTGAGCAGAGCCGCATCCGCATTGGGGTCAGGAACAACGTCTTTTGCTCCACACAAGCGGCGCCTGGCACATGGAAATCCATATCATTCCGACACGTTCCAGACGCACGTCTCACTATTGCGGACATTTCGGCAGTCCTGCAACAGTGGTGGGATGATTGGCCGATGCTGTCCGAGGCGTCCTCTGGATTTCGCAGCTCAATATTTCTTTTGCAATGTGCAGGTATAGGCTGCATGCTGTACCGACAACACGTAATCGCGACGACGTAGCCTATATTAATCAGCTGCATCACAGCTGACAACACCGCGAAGATGCAGCATGAGGAAGTGACTATACCGGAATTGGCAGATCTCGAAATTGTCATGCTGGAGATGCGACCCACAAAACCACGTTTTCTAGTGGCGGTCGACGCACCCAATGTGTAAGGCACGGCGATATCCAGACCCTGGACCCAAAGACCCTGTGCATTATCAATACGCGACGTCATGGGGGAGAAGTTTTCGAACGTAGCTCCAGCGACATTCATGGCACATGTAAGAATGAGCTGTAGGTTGGCTCTAATCATATATAACAGTAAGTCGCGGTAGTCTTTGTGAACATAGCAATCAACTTCACATCAACTTTTATCACTTTTGCAACAAGATACCCAAAAGTTTTTCCATTACATCACCTTTCAACGTATACTACATCACAACACACCACCATCAAGATGCCTTCTTTCACCGTCTACAAGGGCTCCAAGGAGAGCAAGATTGTCAAGTCGCAAACCACTAAGCCCGACCTCGAGAACGACCAGGTTCTCATCAAAGTAACCGCCTCCGGTCTCTGCGGAACCGATGAGCACTACAAGGGCGCCGACATGGCCCTCGGCCACGAGGGTGTCGGTGTCGTAGAGGAGCTTGGACCCAACGTGCAGGACTTAAAGAAGGGCGACCGCGTTGGATGGGGTTACGAGCATAACTCCTGCGGCCGCTGCGACAAGTGCCTCACAGGCCAGGAAACCTACTGCAGCGAGCGCCAAATGTACGGCATGGCCAACCTCGACCAGGGCAGCTTTGCTTCCCACTCCGTCCAGCGCGAGGCCTTCGTTTTCAAGGTACCCGATGAGCTCACCGACGCCGAAGCCGCACCCCTGATGTGCGGTGGAGCCACCGTCTTCAACGCTCTGCACACCTACAACGTCAAGCCCACCGACCGCGTCGGTG